TGTTTATTCTATTCTTAGTATACTGCACCGATGCTAACGAGCGGCTGTGCTGGCTGCATTTCCGATGGAGGCGGAAATGTTGTAGGCCCGTGTACTCAGATTTGGGTGCACGTTAAAGAACATCAGGTGGTCAAAATTTCCGGAGTCCTCCACTACGGCGTCTCTCATAATCAAAAGTGGTTTTGGGACGTTAAACCCCACAAATCAATCAATCAATCATGCTAACGAGCGAGCGACGACGCTGTCGCCGGTAAAGAGTGCGTATTCGTATCGTGCTCGGCACTTGCGAACAACGCGACTAGCAGCGGCGCGCTGAAGGCTCGTTCACATGCACTTACGGCTACCACCGGACGTTTCGTTGTTGGCCCCAGGGCGACAGGTATACGAATCGCAAAGCGCATTTTATTGTTTATTATACGACTTGCGCATTCCTCATGTTTCGATCAGTGGCGCAGCCAGGGGGTGGCACACCGGGCCCACGATCCCTCCCCGAATTTTTTTCTTTCGCCATGACGTACAGAACAAAGGGCTGCTTTTTATCGAAATAAAACTAGTTGAAAGTCAGCGCTCTTTGCCTCTGTTGGTCTCGCCCCTTCACGCACCTTCTTGTGCGCTGTTTACAATCTCCCCGTCTCTCTCTCGAATTTTCTTCCGTGAAACGATACATCGTCGTTGGCAGGTTTACGCCTTTCGTGCAATAGTGAAGGAAATATTCCATGCAGGAGTTTCCAAGAAAGAATGCTATCAGGAATCGAATGAGAGCAAATCGGCACGATAACTGCGGAATGGCGACAACGAGCAGGAGTTTGATGATTGATATGTGGGGTTTAACGTCCCAAAACAACCGTATGATTATGATAGACGCCCGTAGTGAAGGGCTCCGAAAATTTCGACCACGTGGGGTTCTTTAACGGGCACCCAAATCTGAGCACACGGGCCTACAACATTTCCGCCTCCACCGGAAATGCAGCCGCTGCAGCCGGGACTCGATCCCGCGACCTCCGGGTTAGCAGCCGAGTACCTTAGCCACTACACTGTCGCGAGAGCAAAGTTTCGCGAAAAACCCTGTTCTTTTACGGCTCACAAGCGGAGCAGTCAAGGTCGCCCCCGTTCGGGATTAGAAGGGGAAAGCTTACTCGGAAAAGCGTCTAGCAAGAGGCAGGTCCGGCGCCACCGTCTGAGTTTAAGCCATTGTTGGCAGGCACGCGTGTCATTGAGAATGACATGGGGACGCGACCACTTCGCCTGACCGAGACGTAGTGGTAGCAGGTAAACGACCATATTCTCCCCCGCTGTTGTTAGGATGTCGGGGCGCCTCGCTGTCGCATGTACACCTGCAGTAAGCGCACGGAGCCCAATGGTGTACCCATCGCTCTTAAGGACGCTTCTAGGAAGCAACAATTAACGAAAGAACTGACGGGGCCCGAACGTGGGAACGGCCGCCGAGTGAAGTCGGCCGAGGGAGGCAGCACGAGTAATTTTGGGCAGCACGGCCTGGCATGGGAGAGAGTGTCCCGTGCGGAGAACCTATCCCTTGCGTGTTTCATTTGGTAAGGAGGTTTTTACAAATGTAGTGCCTTTTATGAAAGTGTTTCTGTGATTGGTTGTGATGATGCGAGTCCCAACCAGTGATTGGTTTTTGTGAAGACTCTTTGTTCGACCAAGGGTTAAAAAGAGGATGTTTGAATTTGAAAAGGGGGCGGAGTCGGGGTGAACAGCGGATCTCACCACCGGAGACCAGCGCCATGCAGGCCGAGGGGTATGCCACCATTTTCTATGTTTTGTCTTTGTGACCTAGTGCATTTTGTAAATTGAAGTTGTGTTAGCTAAATAAACCCCCAATGAGTGCTCCCCGAATTCATCGTGTTGACTTCTCATCGATTGCCTCCGCGGAGTTTCGCCCACACTTATTCGTCTCCCTGGTCGTCCGAGGCGCCTAACTTTGAATAACCCCGACGTTTCGCTACAACACCACCGCGGCGGGGCAACGAGAAGAGTAGCACATTAGACGTATCAAAGTAGAATCTTGCGAATACAGTTCCACATTTTCCAATCGGTTACTAGCGTCAAACACACCGCTGCATAGAGCCATCCGCAAGACAAACAGATTTCCGAAAAAAAAAATACGCACGCAAATTTTTCTAGCAAGTTGAAAAATCATGACTTCGAAGTTACCGATATCGAACGTGCGAGCCAATCACAAACCTTCGTTGGGAAGTAAGAGCGCTCATAGTGCCGGGACCACCCGGCGCGAAGCCTTTCGCAACCGATACGAAAGAACCGCCACCCAATCAATACACTGGAGGAATGATCGAACGCGCTGGCCTACGGAAAATGTTCCGAGCAAAAAAAAAAAAAAAAAAGAAAAAAGAAAATGCGAACTCGTGTCATGGACCATGCATTGCTTTGCTTTCCCTAGGATGCCGTTTCCTTGGCAACTGAAAACTGCAGCTCGTAGTTACTATCTTTACAGTTTCAGAAAGCTGAAACAGTACATACATATATCTGACGCAAATGTCATGACGTTCGACCACGCTGCAAAACAGTATACGTACCTCAATTCTGTCGCATTTTCTCATTGAACTTATAGTAAGGTTTCAGACATCAAAACTATTTCCCAATATAAAGTCAGCATTCTTAGCTGCACTTGTTCGAGACATGGCCAACGGCGTAAGATCAGATCGTCGGACGCCACAGATTTTGATAATATAATATTAATTGCTGGGGTTTAACGTCCCAAAACCACCGTATGATTATGATATACACCCGTAGTGGAGGGCTCCGAAAATTTCGACCACCCGGTGTTCTTTAACGTGCACCTAAATGTAAGCACACCAGCCTCAAACATTTTCGCATCCATAAAAAAAAAATGCAGCCGCCGCAGCCGGAATTCAATCCCGTGACCTGCGGGTCACAGAATCTGAGAAGACGTTGCGTATTTGCTGTTGTAATTCCGTCCTTAGGCTGTTGTTAGCTTCCCAGTCGGACATACACATTCAAATAGAAAAAGATGGCGCCTCGTACCTTTCCTTCATTTCTCAATGGCAAATGACTTTTTCACTCGGCGTTTCACTAAAGTCCGCGATTCATGCAAACAAGGCTATGACCACATGCACGGGTCGAAGACGTAACTTTATGCAAAACCATTGCACTACCTTGGAACGATTACAAAGCGAGGCTCTCGTACGAAGACGTCGCTCAAGTCTGGCAGAGTCATTACCGAATATCAACGCGCAATCGACATCATTAATGGGTCAATCGACCTACGTTTTTCAAAGAGAGCAGGCCCGAAGGGCAACTCTCCTTTTCTTCGCCATTCCCCCTTCCAATCTATATCAACATGCCCCGCCGCGGCGGTCTAGTGGCTAAGGTACTCGGTTGCTGACCCGCAGGGCGCGGGTTCGAATCCCGGCTGCGGCGGCTGCACTTCCGACGGAGGCGGAAATGTTGTAGGCCCGTGTGCTCAGATTTGGGTGCACGTTAAAGAACCCCAGGTGGTCAAAATTTCCGGAGCCCTCCACTACGGCGACTCTTATAATCATATGGTGGCTTTACGCTTCAAGCATCGGTCCGACGACAACAAGTTCTTTAATTTACAACTCGAATTATCCGATAAGAAGACAGTGCAGTCTTCTTATCGGATAATTCGAGTTGTAAATTAAAGAACTTATAATTCGAGTTGTAAATTAAAAAACTGCGCTCGCCACAGCACGAGTGGCTGTGGCGAGCGCAGCCACTCGTGCTGTCGGTGGCTCCAAGGCAAGTTTTGCAACAAGAACACAGCAGCTGTACGAGTCATGTGCCGATTCCTCTCCAGATACGCGCAACCGCTGCGAGGACGAGGTTTCTGCCGAAGCCACGCGGCCCACTCTCCGAGTCTCTTTCATGCACCTTTCCCACCGAAAAAGACCGCCAGCGGGTTTGCTTTTCGCCCGAGCCGAGATCGTTGGAAGCCGTCGCACGCTTTCAGTGGCACCCCAGCGCGAACGCCGACGGCATTGTAGTGCCGGTGATGTCCGTAAAATTATTAGACACCTTTAGTTGGGCGTACGTAACGAGCAGACGTACGCAGCACTGCCACGGGAGAGAACTGCGCATGTGCAGTGCGTAACGCATCGATTCTAGAGATGCGCGCTTCCCCCCCCCCCCCCCCCCAAAAAAAAAAAAAAACGCTGCGTGCGTAAACGTGACGAGGCGAAGCGTACGTGGCGTGACGCTCTCGCGATATCTCGATTGATATGGGAACCAGATAGCAAAACAGCAGCGACGGCGTCGAACGCAGAGAGCAACAAAGCCGGCCCAAACCGAGTATATTTCACTTTGAGGGGACGATGTTGCGCTACTACCACACGAGGGCGCTAAAAAGCACTCAAAAGCCGTTTTATTTCTAAGAACATACGTCTAGTTGAACCAAACGTATCTCGGTACGGTCAATACGGTGAACTAGAAGTGTCGTTGAGCGCTTCGCATAAAGCGTACGCAACGTATCGTGCCACGTACGTATACGTTCGTTACGTACGCCCAACTAAAAGTGGCTATGATCGCAAGCAGCACTACATACACTTCGCTGTGTCCTTCATCGCTGTCGACAGTGATGAAGGTCAGCGAAGCTCAGCTTGCCACTGTGTTGACTATGCTACAACTGATAGCTTGGACATGACGAGCATATTGACGTCAGTGCAGCATAATCACGTGGCGGCTAACCTTGTTCAATGTGATAGCGACGCCACTGGAACGCTTCTGGGATATGTGCATGAATAGAGCAAGAACTTGCATGCGATGATCTGGTAACACGGACGTGCCATCAGAAGCTTCGCGTCCGAACATAGCAATTTCATCAAACTCAGTGCACATATGACATGCTATATATGGCACCATAGTGGCGCGCTACGCAACGAGCCCCCTTATGATGAACCCATAGGACCATATTGGTACCCCTGTCGAAAACATGACAGCCTCGATAGCATGTAAGAGGGCGCATAGAGAGGGCGACCACTGACCCTTATCCTGTCCTGGAAGCTGCATGAGCGGTGCACGTCGTCCCGCGGTCCGTATCGGTCAGCCTCGGTCTCCAGCACGTCCAGCGTGGCTTCGGCCTCGGCCAGCCAGCCCAAGAACCGGTCGAGCGCTTTCTCCAGCTGGTGCATCGAGCCCAGCGCGGACTGCAGGGCCTGGCCACGGTTCTGCACGCTGCGAAGACCCACAAGCAAGCAACGGAGCAGTTAGCGAGATCCGCCAGCCCCCGGCGGGGGACAGTTGACAGAAAACCGAACGGTCCTCGCAACAGCTGCCGCAAAGGCTCCGATTGCAGTGATAGAACAATCTACATTCTGCGTCGCTCATCTCTCGCAGCGTTGCGATCACTGGCGCCTAAGTCAGTCGAATATGTTCGCACGTGAAAGGCAATGTCCCGCAATTTGCCTTGGCGCTTTTGACAAGTGCCTGCGGTTATAGTGCTTCGTTGAGCGTCACTAAGTTGGAAACATAGATGCGTGAGTCATTAAAACGGCATTCAACGGAACTAGGCGGTTCATAGCAGACACTGTTTCGAGCAGCGGAGCTGAAGCAGAAGACATTGCTGTACTGAAAACTGAACTTCGCTTTTGTGCGCGCGGCTAAATGAATAGCCAGACACACACAGTCACCAACAGACAGCAGTGATAGGCGCCTCGTTCCATTTTCATGTACCGATTTCGACCTGCCAGAGAGATAAGACAGTTTTTTTCTTATCAGAACTACTGACGCTGCACTAATGCACGAGCTTCTCTCCTCCTCAATCTCGATGGCTTGCTTCGTTACCCGTTTAAGTTTCTGGTCACTTTAACGGAGACTTGCTCGCGGTTCGCCTGGCCTGGCATGAGCAGCCCCTGAAATGAGGCGCTATACTCGGGGACAACTTTTTGTGGCAATGAAGGGAAGGCTACGTGGGCGGAGCTACTGCTCCTGTACTCCTCCGCGAAGTAGTCCGGTTCGGCTCGCGTTTTGTATGACGGTCGCGTTCATGTAATCCCACGACACACAATTTGATACGCCTGCTTACACAGTCATTTGTGTGAGAAATTCGACACAAGCTCCTTCGGCGAGTCGTCGGAATAGCCGGAGGGCGACGCGCGCTCAACCAAAGACAAAGGGTGTGTTCCAACACTCACCGTAGACGGCTATATAGACAGCTAAATGGACGGCGGCCATCTTGAGTCCCATTCCAATTCTCACGTAGCATGCAACATAGACAGCTCCGAGAAGACCGCATCCTAGACAAACACGATGAAAGCTACTTTGCTGTCTAAACAAGATGGCGGCTCAGCGAATCGCTCAGATAGATCAAATCTCGCCCGAATGATTGTCTGCACACAAGCAGACGCTTTCCCAGACGCTGAACGTGAGTAACGTTCATTATTTTAATTAGACACAAAATAAACCAGAAATTACAACTGTTACGTATGTTTATTTTAGCTTTTTCTTCTCGACGCGAGGTGGCGCATCGTCGCGTAAAAGCCGTCTAAATGTGTTTCATTTCTCGGATAGCATGGGCTCGATGCTGTCTTCTAAGCAGTCTTCGTAGACTGTCTAAGAATCGGAACACAGCCAAAGACGCCATTTTGACTGTGAGGTGCACGCAAAACGTGCGACGTGTTCAGATGCGCTAAAACGCAAAATGACTCTTCATAAAGCAACAACAAATAACGGTAACTCCTCGGCACGTGCAGCGTCTTTTTATAAACATCATCTAGTAGAAAATACTGTTGTTAATTTTTATTGCTTTCACGCCGAAAACAGGGACGCATTCGTGACCCTATATCCTATAGCGGTGGCACATGCCCACTTTGGCTCCGTCGCCTTTCTTCCATTGGCACGGAAAGTTGTCCCCGAGTATAGGCGCCCGCAAGATGACGTCATCAAAGAAGCAGCATGAGCCTTCGCCCGTGTGTTATTAAGACATCGGCCAGTTTCCAGCCCTCGTGCAGCCGAAAATACTACCGGCGATTTAAGGGACTGCCTCGACCCATGACTGCGCGGGACCATTGCAGGAGGCTTTCGTGAAACGTTTTAATAAGATGGCGATAGACAAGTCATAAACAACGCGTTTTCGGCTGCTAACAAGGCTTGAACCGCGGGACGACAATAACTATTCCAGCAAAAGAATGAATCTACAGTCAGCGGTCTCTTGTATATTGACGCTGTCCCGAGAATCAATAAACACTGTTGAATCCAAAAACAGGGCGAGAAGACAGTGAGGCACGCACACGAACGATGTCGAGGAGTGAGCGTCCCCAACGCGTGTTTGTCTCCCTCCATTCCCGCCTTTCGTTTCGATGTGCATGAAAACCACCTAGCTCACAAACAACGAACACGCGCTCTTAACGAAGGACGGTAGAGCTATGTAACTGCCACACTTTCATATATAGGACGCTGCGTCGTGGAAGCCTATGTGGTAAATTGAGAGGAAATCCCACCTGACGGTGAGGTCGGCGAAGCGCTGGTTGATGCCCTCGACGGCCGCCATAAGCCTCGCGGGGTCCTCCTGGAGCGGGGCGCCCACGGAGTTGGAGCGGGGCTCGGAGGCAACCTTGTGCGCCAGCCGAGTGACGGAGTCCACTGTCGCTTTCCACTTGGTCAGCTCGGCGTTCAGCAGCTGCGCGAATGTATATAAACAGGCGAACGAGACATTAACCCGTGGTCTGGCCAAGGCACGCTCCGAATCCGCCAAGCGATAAAAGCGGCTGCTGTGATTATCGTCCTAGAAAAAGAGACCGTATATGCGCGGTAGTATTCATGAATCCTTATTTACGTCAGGATATCATCTTTCTTTGTCTTGTGAAAGACCGATTACGTAATGCGACAGGGAGCCAGAAGCGAGTGCCAACGTTACTGAAATGATCCCAATGAGCCCCATCTCGAGCTTCATAAAAGTCTCATAGGGGAAAAATGTGCACCTATGTCGCATAAAGCAATGGATCCAATGACATAATAATAATAATAATAATAATAATAATAAATGATGATGACCAACTGACGGTACGAAATTGGGTTGCTAATTGTTTATATACTTATACAGAAAATGAAACCATTTAAGGAGGCCGCTAAGGTTTGGCAGAAAAAGGCGTCGCAGTGCAGGCCACATCAACGGCTATAGCTGCATAACGTGCGAAAGTAATTCGAAAAAAAAAAAAATCGAATCGAGAACGGCAAAAGGAGGCGCGTCGTAACACTTGTCGGGCGGTACAATATTAGTTGTGCTGGAGGCATCTGGCACTCTGCGACAAAGAGCCCGGCCGCGGTTGGTACTGCTCGCTTCTTAGTTTGGTGACGACCCCCCCCCCCCCCCCCTCCCACTCGTCCGTCCGTCTTTTGTCTCTCCGCGCTGTCGTGGAACCCTCATCCCTGACAGGGCGCCAACAAAGGACAGCGTTCGCTCCGCAAAGCTGTCAGTGAATCCCGCTTTCGTACCATATACCAACGACGGAACCGAGGATGTGAATGTCTGCGAAGAGAGGGCGGCTCTCGTTTTCCACAATCGGCACAGATGTGCGATAGAAAGTGCAAGCGGTCCCCTGAGATGACGCAAACGCACACGAGATTAAACAAACAGGAAGTGAAACAAAAAATATCAAATAACACGAGAAGTAATTTGTAAATACAACAGACAAGAAAAAAACACTCTGCAGCCCCATTTAGTTGTTAGCCTTTAGGTACGCGGACTCCCGAAGTAAAGGAGAAAACAACCCAGCAACGACGGTAGAGAGGACAACCGACTAGGAGCGCTGATTCAAGAAGAGACTGAAGGGTTCTCGAAACGTGGGAGCAGGTTTCAAAATTGAAAAACTAACGACTATACCCGGCTGAGAAGTTTGTTCATTCTAATCATTTTAACCAGCCAGGCAGAGTTCAATCCAGCATGTTAAGCTTTAAATACATTAGACTACACGCAACAGATGCCTTCAACGAGCCTCTTCGGGAGAGTCGTGACATGCCCGTCAAGTCTATATAGATATGCAAATTTCTGAAGCACGCGCATTTGCTGCTTACTAATACTAATTAGCGTGTGAGTCTGTTGGTTATGTGGATTATTAATATGCGAATGAGCGAACACTTATAAATGTGGATGCGATACATACAACTAAACGTGGCGCGGTGCATACGGAAGTCAGCATCGCGCGCGAACTCATGTCGCGAAATATTTTGACTCGACGACTGTGGTTATGGGGACAGTGAATGTTCATGGGAAAAACCGCTTTTCCTGTACCGGCTTGTGGCTGAGGCTACTTCAGAGCGAACATGCACTGGTTGACCACGTGCGCCTGTTTTTGTTTTTTTTTGTTTTAAATGCGAATGCATTTATTAGTCGGGCTACGTCAGGCGTCCGTCAGGATCCGTCCACCACCCTGTCCCACAACACCTGCGGGCGGGCGCGTCCCTAGCAACCGGAGCCCCTACTATCAGAAATTAGGTGCCTTTCTCCTCTTCTAACCACTACCACCACCACCACCCTACCGTGTCACGCTTCGGCGTCGGCAGCCGTCAGCAACACTTGCGGGCGCGCACACTTATCCGCGCCCATAGCTAGATGGGCGCCTCTCAAGGCGATGGCAGAAGTCGGTAGAGGCGAATGGCTGACCGCAACGGTATACCCTCTCACAACGCACGAAATGCATTCACATTTCTTCACGATTCCATTGCGGGAGGCAGGGGTTTTTTTTTTTCGAGAAATATAGAAATGTTGACATTGCGCGTATGTGAACAAGCGTGCAGGCTTTATATTCGAAGACATTGGCTTCTTTAGCTATCCGAAGTCGTACGAAAACAAAAAGGTAATACCTGCGCCGGTTTGTGCTTTCCTCTCGTTTCATGTTTTCCTCTGTTTTTCACGCAGTTATACAAAATCGATAAAAAGGTAAGTGTGAGAAACGTTTTTACGCCGAATGTTTTCACAGCACGGTTGAAAAAGCTTCAGCATAAAAAATATGGGGGTAGAAAATTGCCACCGCCAGTGAGGACACGTCGGAACCTGCGCGTAACGCAGAAATTGGGAAGTGACACCCGACGAAGTACACTGTCACCCCCCCCCCCCCCCCCTGGTTCTTCTTTATAATTTGGTCAGTCTAACTCGTGGCCCTCCGCGAGTAAGGAGTGGCTCGAAGCGAGGCAAGATCGTCGGACGTTCCCCGCCTGAGGGTGATGTCAATGGAGCGACGAGGAGACGCCCATCTAATAAGCAGCCGCTGTCCGACTTGTCGCGTCGAGCGTTAGCGCCGCTAAACACCAAGCCTGCCACCCGTGCGACGCTTCCACATTCGCCCGGTGCCACCCTTTCCTCCCCGTTTCCTGCCTGCCTACAAGAGCCCAACAACAGCAGCCTCCTTCGCCACCGTCTCAAACCCGGAAGGCGACGAAACAGCACAAAGAACAGCCGCGCCTGCCCCGTCGCGTTAACTGAAAGAAATTGCGATTCGAGCATCGAATGTCAGCCACGCTGTTGCTCAGACTGCCGGTGGCGTAGTCATCGTTGTTGTTGCCTGCACCCCCCCTCTCTCTCTCTCTGGCTATTTTCGCGAAGGCACGCTTTCCCGCGGCAAAGACTTTGATACAGGGGTGGCAGTGATCGAACCTCTTTAACGGAAAAATGGCTTCGGATGACCCTCTCTTTCAGAACCCTCTTGCTGCTTCCTGTAGCAACCAGAAAAGTTAAAAGAAAGGTCGGCTTTCTTTCGCTCACCGCTGAGGCCACTCAGCGGTGAGCGAAAGAGTTCGCTCACCGCTGAGGCCACTCTCATCCTACCCGTCTCTCCCCGTCTATCCTTTAACAATACTTTATTATTATTATTATTATTATTATTATTATTATTATTATTATTATTATTATTATTATTATTATGCCGATAAACAAAGGAAGCGCTGGCGCCCAGATGCGGAGCCTGCTATGTAACACTTTGTTTTCTAAACAGGTGGTTAACTTTGTGGTTAAAGCATTGTACATTTAGAAAACTGCTGAGAGACACGGTCAGCTCCCAGGCGGGAACGCAGCGCCAAGGCGGGAGCTCGCTCGCTCGCTCACTCACTCCCTCACTCACTCACTTACTCGCTCACACGCACTTATTTACTCCCCTCCCTCCCTCGCTAACGTATGAACAGTTTGTATAGAAGAAGAAGCGGAACGGTTGCTTGCTGCTCAACAGCATTAACAAACTCATTATGTTAAACAAGAAAATATGGACTACTAATACTAAGCCAATAAAGTTATCCGATGAACATGAAAATAAAAATCAGCGGATGCGTTCGAAAAAGCTAACATAATGTTCTTTAAACAGAAAAATCGGCAAACAACAGCACCATGCTCCTGCTTCTGTTTGCGGCAAGCTATTCATGAGGCAATAAACCCCGATAGCGAGATCATTCGATAATCACTTGGAAAAGTATTATTTCAAGCTCCCTCAGGTTTTCGCGCCTTCACACACTATCTCGGTCTTAATACTTTAAGGATCAGTTCAACTATGCACATTTGAACTTAATGTACGGTCAGAACGAGGCATTCGTTATACGCTACTGTGTGCAAACACAAGATGGGGGACAAGAGAACAAAGACGTTTTGTGTTTGCTCTCAGTACCGGTAGAAATGACTTGCTCAAGCTAACCCCAAATCGCAACTCTCGTGAGAAGGAGGCACTCCGACTACAAATTACAATAGACGCCACAGCGCAAAGATCCGAAATGCTTGCAGCCACCGGGGTAAACATCTATCACGCCTCGAAAAGATTTCTGCACGCGCTTTCTCCCTTTGTTCCGGTATCGATGCGGTCACAAAACCCGGAAATAGTACCGAAGGCATCGCACACTGCATCAGAACATCACAGTCATTGAGTCACGTGATAGCAGTATCCGTGACGATTCGTTTACGCACCATCGCTTGGAAGACATTAAGCGAGAAATCGGAGAGAAAAATGGTGCACAAGGCACCGAAATGAGTCGGCAATTGTCCACTACTCTTTTCCTCTAAATTTCGACGAATAAAGCTACACCATTAACTGCTCGAGAGGTTTGTGCATGCCAACATGAGTGGCAAAACGCTGCGTGCTGCCGCTATAAAATTCGTAAGCGGTTTACGTGCGCCTGCAATTTTTTTCCCGCACTTTCAGCTCTTTCTTTCATCGCTCTCTTTCAAGCCACGCTCAGATGAATGCGACAGAATGTGACGGTAGCGCATAACCTTTCCAAGTGCAGTAGGGTTGACAGGCGGGCTAGTTGGTACAAACTCATAATGGAATAATTGGAAACGCAAACCAAGTGCGTCATAATTAATGCGACGCGACGCCGTTCCGATGCGATGCCGAGACCGCTAGCCCCTCAAAATGCATCCCATCTCCGCCTAGCACATTCTGCCCGTTTGCATAAATGTGAAGAACTAGAACGTTGACGTGATGCGATCCGATGCGATGAGCCAGTTGTCACACTGATGTAAATGATGTTTGACTAAGGGTAGCCAGCCAAAAATAGCTCTGCTTAAGGTCGGTTCCTTTCTCGAAATATACCCCGTCTCTTAATAATCGCTGTAATTAATCCTTAAAACTTACAGAAGAAGTGGCATTTCTAGTTTCAAAGCAATCTTTTTAACACGAGAGTGTTTTATGCCGGGTTCCA